GATGTTAAGCAAAGAAGTCACTTCAAACAGCTTCTTTTTTTCATCCTAAGCTCTTCCCAGGGAGATGTACTCTCGTGGGTCTCCAAGGTGGGCCCCAGACCCACAGCATAGGCCTCACCTGGATATCTGGTGGAAATGCAGATTCCTGGGCCCCAACTCTTTTTTTTAAACTTTTATTTAATAAATATAAATTTCCAAGTACAGTTTTTGGATTATAGCAGCTCCCCCCCCCCATAACTTCCCTCCCACCTGCAACCCTCCCATCTCCCACTCCATCTCCCATTCCATTCACATCAAGATTCATTTTCAATTATCTTTATATACAGTATATATTAAGTAAAGATTTCAACAGTTTGCACCCACACAGAAACACAAGTGTAAAGTACTGTTTGAGTACTAGTTATACCGTTAATCCACATACAGTATATATTAAGTAAAGATTTCAACAGTTTGCACCCACACAGAAACACAAAGTGTAAAGTACTGTTTGAGTACTAGTTACACCGTTAATCCACATAGTACAACACATTAAGGATAGAGATCCTACGTGGGGAGTAAGTAAGTGCACAGTGACTCCTGTTGTTGACTTAACAATTGACACTCTTGTTTATGGCGTCAATAATCTCCCTAGGCTCTTGTCATGAGTTTTCAAGGCTATGGAAGCCTTTTGAGTTCGCCAACTCCGATCTTATTTAGAGAAGGTCATAGTCAAAGTGGAAGTTCTCTCCTCCCTTCAGAGAAAGGTACCTCCTTTGATGGGCCCCCACTCTGACTACTGAACCTGCAAGTCTGGAATTAAGGACCAGCGACAGTATTTTCCATCATCCAGAGACTTTCTAAAATTTGAGGACCACTGGTTGTCTAGAGGCAACCCTTGCAAAGCTGCATCTAGAGACGAAACATTTTACCTTGGTTTAGTCCAAATGTTTAAGAGGTTTTCAGGCTGTGAGGTGAGCATCCTGCAGCAGACGCGCAGTCCCCGTGCTGCAGACGTTCCTCTCTGCTGAACAGGTGGCCTTATCACATATCTAGAACATTTGACCATTTCCTTGTCCGGCGCCCATGGTGCACTGCATGGCCGGACCTGCTAACTGGATTCTCTCTCTTGAGAATATGAATTAGAGACACCAAAGCTGTGCTTGAAATGACACATCCAACTGAGACTGACGGCCACAGTGGGCCTTGCGTGAACTCAGTCCCTGTGTCTTTTCACTCACCTATTGTTTGTTTTCTTTTTCCCTGCAATGGGTATCCATTTCTTGCCCCAGACTTGATCAGGACACATTTTTTTTAAAAGATTTATTTATTTATTTGAAAGTTAGAGTTACACACACAGAGAGAAGGAGAGGCAGAGAGAGAGAGAGAGAGAGAGAGAGAGAGGTCTTCCATCCACTGGTTCACTCCCCCAGATGGCTGCAATGGTTGGAGCTGCACCGATCTGAAGCCAGGAGCCAGGAGCTTCTTCCAGGTCTTTCATGCGGGTGCAGGGGCCCAAGGACTTGGGCCATCTTCTACTGTTTTCCCAGGGCATAGCAGAGAGCTGGATCCAAAGTGGAGCAGCTGGGTCTCGAATTGATACCAGTATGGGATGCCAGCACTGGTGCAGGCAGTGGCTTAACCTGCTATGCCACAGCACTGGCCCCAGGACACATGTTAATGATGGATAGAAAATGCTGCATGATTGACTGGTTGTAGCTACTACTCTACATTGTTAAGTTGCCCAAAGCATTGCCTTGTCCTTGTCAGTTATCTTGTTTTGGTAACTGCATGGAAGCCAGTGGAAATTTCTGTCCAATATCTGTTTAATTTCTTTGTGTGAAAGCAAATTTAGTGGCACTCATTTCATCTTGATGCGGAGCTCTTGAAGTTCTTTTACAATTGCTTCCAGTCTGATTCTCTGAGAAGCCAGTACAAATTGCTCTGTAAATCAACAACCAAAGAATCAATATCGGTGAGGTTCTTTTAAAGAATTCAAGACAAAGAGTTCCCTATAAGCCACTGTCCCTGTGCTCCAATGTTCAAAAGGAAATATCCTGAAAATGAAAGCCAGAGAAACTATACAATCTTACCAAAAAGTTGTGTGGTCAGGAATAAAAGCCAGCATGTGATTTCAGAAGTAAATGTTTGTTCTGAGGACAATACTAACACGATGGGGCCATTAGGATCAGCCTTGACTTTTTCAAGTCACAGTACAATTTAAGAATGAATCCAATAAAATTGTTATCAGATGTTTTAAATCCAACATGTCATCCTTTTAGTATTATTTTGTTGTAAACCTCCCAGGATGGGAGAGAAAATCGATGGAAATGGAATTAAAAGACAAGAGTACTCCGACATGAAAAGATTTTGAAATCCCAGTATTGCTTTCTTCATAATCATTATTTTCCATGATCTTTTCAAAGACCCCTTGTAGGCATGGATTTCAAATTTCTTGGCACCAAAATCATCTTATCTTTTAACCCTATTTTCCATGAACTTCTGGAGTACTCCTTGTGAGTAGGTTATCTAATGCACTTCTGCATTTAAGCCTGGAGTTACTTCTTTATTCCTAAACAAATGAGAGCCATACATGCTGGCTTTGTGGTTGATGACAGAGCCATCCACTATGCTTCATAATCAATCTGCAAAAAGAAATAAATGAATTTGGAAACACAATGTGTAAGATGAGACTTTGGCTCTTGTTAATGTGTTTTCTTCTGTCATTCCTGGGCAAAAATGTTAAACATTGTGGCAGAGATCAGTAATTGCTTTTTAACCCTCAAATGGTTGACTGCTCAACACAAAGATTCCATTCCTAAACTTTTTTTAAAAAAAGATTTATTTATTTATTTATTTATTTGAAAGTCAGAGTTACACAGAGAGAGGAGAGGCAGAGAGAGAGAGAGAGGTCTTCCATCCGATGGTTCACTCCCCAATTGGCCTCAACAACTGGAGCTGTGCGATCAGAAGCCAGGAACCAGGAGCTTCTTCTGGGTCTCCCATGCAGGTGCAGGGGCCCAAGGATGTGGGGCATCTTCTGCTTTCCCAGGCCATAGCAGAGAGCTGGATCAGAAGTGGAGCAGCCAGGTCTCAAACTAGTGCTTCAGGCCAGCGCGTTAATCCGCTGCGTCACAGCGCTGGCCCCCTAAAGTTTTTTTTCTAATAGCCACGTGTTTTCAACAAATTACTCTAAAACATAGAGGCTTAAAATAACCTTTTAATTTTGCTCATGTATTCTGTGGATTGGACTTCAGATGGCAGCTAGCACAGGGCTGGCAGGAGTTTTGTCCTGTTTTGTTCATCAAAAGCATGCAGAAACCCATTCACATTCCTGGGGAGGGGAAGCAAGACTTCAACTCCTGATGGAGGAACGGCAAGGAGAGCACATTGGGCTGTGCAGAGGAATCTGGCCCAGAGGACAGATGAGGAGTTGGTTATGTTTAACTTCCCGGATTGTCTTACGGGGTCAGTGTCTGGGGAGGGGAGAGACGGTTGCCTTCTCTTTCCTACTTTTTTCATAGCTGAAATGTGGCTGACACGATTTGCAGGGCGGCAGGCATCCTGGAGCACAAACTGAGGATGAGTGAGCAAAGAGCTGGCTGGAGCCTGGGCCCTGGTGATCACAGAGAAACGACATTTGATCGTGTTTAAGCTACTACATTTTCTGCCACATGCAAGTAATGCAAATTATAATCAACACAAACATCATTATAAATGCAGACAGACACAAATCCATCTTAGATTACTGGACCTGTAAAAATAATAATGCTTATGCCGCCGAGTCTGACTAATATTGTGTTCCAAGAAGTGGCACACGGGGATTGCAGTATTTTATTTGTTAAAATGCCTGATGCCTATAGCTAAAAGTTACTTATTACACTTAAAAACATTAGTATGAAATTGATAAGAAATGGAAATGGAAAAATACATTCACTCATGGAGTAAATAGAAGGCGGATCATAAACAAAAGTGTATTTTTATAAAAGGGATTAGTTTGTTTCGTCTCTCATCTATGGCCTTTTGAGTTTCCTGGGAAATGTATTTATTGTTTTGTGTTGGGGGGGGGGAGGAGAATAAAAAAGTGAATAAAACAGAAAAGAAAAAAGTGATTTTGCTTGAATTATTTTTACAATATGGTCATCGCAGAAAATGAACAGTGGGCATTGAAATAATATTTCATGGACAAAAGACCAATCCTCTTTCCTCTGAACTGTAGACGTTAGATCTTTCCGAGTCCAGGAGCTGTACTTTAAAATTACACACCTGTAGCCCTATTTCTCTTTATACTGAAATACTGAAGGTCTTGGAGACCTAATGGCAAACCAAAGCAACAGGGAAAGTTCTAAAATAACCACGAACCGACTAATCCAGCACCGCTTTTTTCCTCCCGCTCGAGGACTACCTGTCTGGACTACGGCATTTTATCCAAGTTGCTGCACTCTCCGGGTCGCAGGCCATCAACTTTGCCAAGTGTCTCGGGAAACGCACGGCGCGCTCCGCGGGACCGCCCCGGCAAAGGATGAACGGACGCGTGAGAGAACAAGAAGGATGCCCCCCAAACCGGGGAGCCTCTCTCCGTCCAGTCTCCCACCGGACACGACGACCCAACTGGATGCCAGGAGGGAGGAAAAACGCCTGCCGTGGGCGGAGGCCGAGGTATCCGAGTACTCGCCGGCCCCCAGGGAAGCCCCGCACGGCGGCTCCACCAGCGGAGCGCGACGCGGCCTCGCAGGGGCCCACGCCCCGGGCGCGTGCGGGCGCCGCGCTCCCAGCCAGCCAGCGCGCCGGCGCCCGCCGGCGTCCTCAGCCCCGCGGCGGTGGGAGCGGCGGGAGCTCGGCGCCCGCCCGCCCTCCAGCCCGCGCAGTTGCCATGGTTTCCGGGGATCACGTGGGCGCGCGCGGCGGCGGCAGCGGCGGCGGCGGGGCGAAGGCGAGGGCGGGGCGCCGGGCGGGGGAGAGGCGCGGCCGCTGCGGGAGCGGGAGGAGCCCGAGATGCTGCCAGCCCTCCCGGGGCCGCGCTCGCTCAGCAGCCGCCGCCACACGGAGCAGCCGCGCGCCGGGCCAGCCGGGCCGCCGGGGCCCAGTGCGCCGCGCTCGCAGCCGCCCGCGCCGTCGGCGCTCAGCTTTGGTGGCCGCGGGGTCCGAGGCCGGACCGGAGAAGGGGGCGAGGGCGGCGCCAGGGCGCCCGCCGCCCCGGAGGCAGGATGAGCATCGAGATCCCGGCGGGACTGACGGAGCTGCTGCAGGGCTTCACGGTGGAGGTGCTGCGGCACCAGCCCGCCGACCTGCTGGAGTTCGCGCTGCAGCACTTCACGCGCCTGCAGCAGGAGAACGAGCGCAAGGGCGCCGCGCGCTTCGGCCATGAGGGCAGGACCTGGGGGGACGCGGGCGCCGCCGCCGGGGGCGGCACCCCCAGCAAGGGGGTCAACTTCGCCGAGGAGCCCGCGCACTCCGACTCCGAGAACGGGGAGGAGGAGGAGGAGGAGGAAGAGGAGGCCGCGGACGCAGGGGCGTTCAACGGTGAGGAGCGACCCTCCGCGCACGCTGCCCGCGCCGCTGCCGGCTTTGCGCGTGAAGCCGCAGCCCGGCTCCCCCGCGTGTCCCCGCCTCCCCTACCTTCCCGTCGCGCCCACCCCCTCAGCATCCATTTCTGTCTTCTCCCACTCGCCCACCTTCCTCCTCTGCTCTCTGGTCGTGCCCTCCCCCTCGCCCTCCTCCGTCTGGAGGAGGGAGCTGGCGGCGCGCGGCTTCCCGGGCCGGGGTCCGAGGTGTTGGGCTGGGCGGGTGCCGCGGTGCGTGAAGGAAGCTGGCCCTCTCGGGGTCCTCCTGGGGGTGTCAGGGAGGAGAGGCGGACGCCGTCGTCAGCGTTTCCCGTGAGGAGCAAGCAATTTGGCACTCGCTGAGGGTAGATCCACATTTATGGTTCTCGCGCCGGCATTCCTGGAAACGGAGTAATTTATTATTTTCTAGTTGACACACAACAAAGGAATCTCTTTAGCTTGCAATCCACAGGGTCTTCCGAAGACCGGCTTTTTAAAAATTTATTTATTTTTTAAGTATAAACCACATATTGAATGATTCAGTGCTTAAAATAATAATAAAATAACGCGTGTGGAAACCACCCTGGGAAGTTCAGAAGGCTTGTCGGTTTCTTTAGGATGAAAAGCCAGGGAGTGTTTGTAAGGACCGTGCCAGGCAGCAAAGCTGGAAAGAATGAATGGGGAAGAAAGAGGGATTTTCTCAAATAGCTGCTCCTGGCAAGTCCCACCCCTTCTGCTTACAACGCTCTCTCCCTGACACGCAGATACACTCGCATCGACACACATCTCCCTTCTTTATGGCATCCTAAGCTGACACACCTCGGTGTGCAAATGTACCGTCCTCTTTGTGGTGTGAGGCAAACGTGCGTGCAGCATTGCACCAGCTCTTATTTATGTGCGCTGCTTGTGGTTTGTGTGTCGGCAGCGGGTTTCGTCTGGGTGGAAGAAAAAAACATTTTAAAGTGTCCTTTCATTTCCTTGTGTTGGAATGGGTTGTAAAGTCATGCATTTGAGCCTGTGCAAAGCAGCCCCTCAAACCCCTGGAAATTAGTGCTTTGTGGAGATAAAAGGAAACATTGGCACTTAAGGTTTTGATTTTCTACTTTTTAGCGTTTTCCAGGATAGGATAATCATTGTCTTAATTGTTCTTTTTGCATAAGAATTAAATGCTTTTCTTGCTAGAAAGGAGAGCAGGATGAAAGAATGCATGTTTTAAATAGATGAGAAGCCAGTAATGGATGACATAGAAAGGGCAGAGGCATCAGATACTTCTTTTATGCTCCCAGTGCAGGCGTGCACACACGCATACACACGCATACACACGCATGTCCACATGAACGTGCACACACAGGAAGGAAAAAAGGGCTCGTTTCCCAGATTAGAAGAAACGAAGGGACTTGGTAAAGAATCTATATCATATATTGCGAACATAACTAGTATATTTTGTTTGTGTGCTTTTAAAGTATTTGCATTGATGCTTCCTTGTTTTCTCCTTACATTACTATATAGTGTTACTATATAGTAATGTTTTCTCCTTACATTACTGTATAGTGTGCACAGCACATACGTAGTTTTCATTTTGCAATAAAGAAATAAGCCATGAACTTCTAAACTGCAGGGACCGTTTTATGTAGTTTTATTTTCTCCCGGGCACCTTTACTGTAAAAATTGCTTAATATGGGTTTTAATAAATACCTGTTAAGCCATTGTACCATTTATCTCCCAGACTTTTCCCCAAGGAACTTAAAACTTTTTGACTGCAAGCAACTACAACTTGATCGTTACCCAGTAGAATTGCAAAAAATTATGGAAAAGTAGAACCCAAAGTATGAGTTTATTTTGTGCAAGAAAATTTTTTTTCTTAAGTTGTAAATGCCTATTATAAAAAAACTGCACATGGATTTCAATTTTTTTTCCGAGGTAATCTCATACTTTTAATTTTTCTGTGAGCTTTTAAAAAATATTTGAGGGCCAGCATTGTGGCACTGTGGGTAAAGCCACTGCCTGTGACATCGGCATCCCATACAGGCGCTGGTTGGAATCCCAGCTGCTCATTTGTGATCCAGCTCCGTGCTAATGGCTTGGGAAGAGCAGCAGAAGATGGCCCAAGTGCTTGGGATCTTGCCATTCTTGTAGGAGACCTGGAAGAAACTCCTGGCTCCCACCTTTGGCTTGGCTGAGCCCTGGCCATTGCGGCCATCTAGGGAGTGAACCAGCAGATGGAAGATCTGTCGCACCCTTCTTGTCTGTAACTCTGACTTCAAATAAATAAGTAAGATCTTTAATAAAAATTTAAAAAGGGTTTTATCTTTTAAAAGATTTACTTATTTATTTGAAAGGCAGAGTGACAGAGACAGAGGTATTCCATCCACTGGTTCTCTCCTTGAATGCGCTGGCGGAAGCCAGGAGCCAGACATCCCAGCCAGAACTCTGGGGTGAGTGGCAGGGACTGGAGGACCCAAGCTCTCATCTGCTGCCTGCCAGGTGCATTAACAGGAAGCTGGCTCAGGGGCCAAGCAGAACCAGGAATCCACTACAGGATGCAGTGTCCTGAGTGGCAGCCTTAACCCCCTGTACCACAACTCGCGCACTCCACGAGCTTTCCGCAGTACCCTCACCCATATCTGTGCAGCTCAGGATCTGGCAGCAGCACTTTCTTCTGTTAGGTTCAGTGCTTTGGGATATTTTCTGGTCTAATCAAGTTTCTCTCTCTCTCTCTCTTTTGTTGTTGTTTTTCCTTTTAAAATAATTTGTGTTGAGATGAGACCCAAGGTTTCAAAACAAGTGTAGTCTCAACAAAGTAGTCAGTAGTCTGTTTCGTAAGAGGCCGAATAATAAATGGTAGACTTTGTGAACATCATATGGTTTGAGTCATATTTTTCTTTTTCTTTTTTTTAATTTTTAACATAAAAATTGGGATTGGACAAAACTGGCTGCAAGCTAAGGTGGCCTTTGGAGCTGAGACCTGGTCAGAGGGGGAAAAAAAAGTTGAGGTAGTGCCTGGGAGGGCATTGTGGGGGGAATCGTATCAGGAGTGAGCCTAACACCTACAAAGCTATCAGTTTAATTATGTCAGTGTTCAGAAGTGTCAAAATACAAAAACCCCAGGCACTGGGTAATTCTGGTATAGTGAGAATATGTATTGGAAGACAGGCTTCATTTTCTGTGGTACCAGTGAGGCGTGAGACCTGCTAGATCAATAATTCTTAAAAATCTCCCAAGCATGTCCAGGAAATTTGTTCCATATCTGAACATTCCTTGGTACCATTCTTAGAGAACTTTGTTTGGAATAGGTTGGGATGTTGTATGGTATCTTTTTTCCCCCAGCAGACATGTAGGTCATTCTGTATCTAGTTCCCTGACCATACTTTGGGAAATATTGATTAACAGTGTGATAGTATCTCCTTGTCTTAACAGTTAAAAAAAAAGCTGTCATTTAGTGACAGTTGCTGTGTGCTGGCACTGTCTGAATGCTTTAATGCACTATCGCAGCTTTTTGAGAATGGCCATTATTTCACAGTACTGTGCCATAAAACCGGGGATTGGGACCCAGATGGGCCTCTTGACTCCCAGGTTGTGTCTTCAGGAGGGGCTGGGGCTAGAATAACTTGAGTATCCCTTTTATATCTAGCTCTACTTGAGGCAATGCAATTTATCTGTAAGGCTCTGCAAAGTTATCTTGTCCAAGGCCCCACAAAGAAGTCCTGAGTAGCAGGGTCTGGTTTCTTACTGCATCTGTTGACCTTGAAGCCCATGACCGTCACGGAGTTCATAAGTAAGTCAGGTTTTCCTCATTCTGTTTCCAGGAATGGTGATAGGTTTTCTTTGTCAGTTCGTGTGCTCTTGCATAAATCCCTTTGGTGTAAATGATAGTCTTTTTGAGAAACCGGGGTTAAAAGGCAAGTTTTTGACCATGAAAACTGGTGTCCTTTGTCTGATGTGGAGATTAAGTTGTATGACCTTGGCCTTTATTGTATGGTGGGTTACTCAAATAAGCCAGGCACCTGCAGTCAGCTTGGAAATGCCCTGTGGTCCAGGGTTCAGGGATTTCGGAGGGTCAGGTGGCCTGGCTGTGGATGGCCTGGCCACATGATCTGCCTGATGGTTCTTACTTCTTCCCTGCCGTTCCAGAGGGTCCCCTCCTCCTCTCCTATTGTCTTCTGACTGTGTCAGTTCTAATTCTGACTTTCTATTTCCTGTCTATCAATTCTAGTTAAAAGGGCAACCTTTAGGTGTAAAGATGAGAGCAGCGTCTGGCAGTCTCCTCCGGGGAAACTCTAGAAGGCTGGGAAGAGGCTAACTGGAGACCTTGTGGCATCTGCTCTGCCTTCCTCCTCCTCATCCTGCAGAAAACAAAAATGACCTGATGCGTCGCTTTTCAGAGTGTGGTGGCCATCGGCCTAGAATTGATCAGTAAGGTTTGTCGTAGGCCAAAGAATTGAGTTCCTACCAGTTTGGAGTAAAAGCAGCAGTAATTAATAGTTTTATTTAGGCATCATCTTCAGGTCTTGTGTTGCCTCAGTGCTTTTCTCCGTGACATTAGTGAAATTAAAAATGACGTAAATACATTTCAGATTGCCCTGAAAATTTGACAAGGGGTAAACAAAATAAATTACATACAGGCATATGCCGACCAGCCAACCTGGGAGGAAAAGTCAACTGTTCTCATGTAAAGTATGGAAGAACTTGATCTTCTGTATTGTGGAAGAAAAAAGTCCTAGGGTTCAAAGTAGAGACACAGCCACAGCACGTGGAACGCGTCTCATGTAACGAGTATAACCGAGGAATATAAATTGAAATCTGCTGTGTAATAGCATTGACTATGTCAGATCCTTGTTAGGGAACCATGTCTACCTTTAACTTGCACAATTTAAAGGGAATATAGGGAACTTATATGCGGTTCTTAGGGCCGTGCACAGTAAGGGAAAGTTGAAGCTCACGGTGAAGGTGGTAGAGGAGCATTTATCGTGAGACGAAACG